AAAAAAAAAGAAAACAAGTTTTTAATTCACTTCAGGATACATTTTTATTTCCTTAATTGTATTTAAAAGGATATTTCAAAAACAAGAATAAAACAAAAATGAACGCTCGCAAACCAAAGAAGAAATGATTTCAAAAAGATCAAAAATAAAAGATAATCATTTTTGATTAAGGTTTTCCATTATAATAGGATGAATTTTAGAGAAAAATTTCAATAATGCTCTTTACTTTACTTCTTTTTTTCTTCTTATATTAAAAAAAAATTTAAATGATCAAAAGTTTTTAAGCTATATTAAAATAAATTTATTCCTTTAAAATATATTATATAAAATTTAAATTAATTCTATGTGGTGTATGATTTATTTTCTTGACAAAAGTTCTATACATATACATACATATAGTAAGGAAATACAAAGTAAAATAGTAAGGAAAAACTTAAACTAAAGTGCATAACTTAAAATTAATAAGCTTGAAGCTTTCAAACTTTATTCATTCGCTAATCAAGAATAAATCAGTTGTTAGTTTTTACTTTACAAAAATTTTCGGCATAACCATTTAATTGACTTTCCACTAAAGAAGAACCCGTAAGAATGTTAAAGAAAAAATAAAAAGTAAATTATAAAATAAAAATGAAAATTTAGAGTAATGCCATTTAATTTTTAGCACAATTACTGATATATATTTGTAATACATATATATGATAATTATGTATAGATTAAAATCTATAACAAAATTTTTATAAAATTTCTCAAATAAATGAAAAAAGTTGCGTATATTTTAGTAAAAATTCACAAGATATTTAATAAAATTAGGAGTATTTAGAAATATATTTCCTTACATTTACTAATTTTTGTTTAAAAGTAACATATAAGAAAAAACAAAATTAAAAAATTTTATCCAATTTTAATTAAATTTTTTATTTCGCTGCTATAATTTTGCAATTTTCATTTCTTTTTCTTCATTTTAAATTTGTATCCTTTTCCTTTTGTTTTCATTTATTTTTTGTTATATACTAAAATCTTCCATTTTCCATGATAATTACGAATACCATATGTAAAAAACTTATTCAAGTCATATAATACCGAAAATGATAAGGATTTTTAATAAGGACATATTTTTATACATGAACATACAAAAACATATATATATATATAATAATATATTATGATAATAATACCCTTAAGAATTCGTTAATGTTCCATTTAATATTATAAAATATTGTTGCTATACCATTTTAAGTATGTATTCCCCACAATTAAATTTTGTGTTGGAAATTTATTAAAAAATCACGTTTCTGTCTTTTTCATAAACACAAAAATTTTAACACTTTTTAAATAATTTTTATTATTTTTTTTTTCCCACAAAAATTTTAAAATTAATTTTTTTTGTTTTTAATTAATTTATGTTATTTTATATAACTTGAAATATAAAAAGAAATTAATTTGAATTTTTTATGTGAATTTGAAGTATTTTGATAATGATTTTGTAATGGAAAAAAGTCTGTATAACAGTTACATTTAAATGTTATAATAAACTTTTCAAGAATAATTAAATTTAGCATTTCAAAGACAATTAATTTTGCAAAACAATTAAAAAGGATAACATACTTTTGTTTTCTTTTGTACATAGTAATAAACGTATAATAAAATATTTTGCTTCGTTTTTGGTTTCTTTCTTTCTGTTTCACTCTTTCTAATTCCATTTTTCTTTCTAATAATTAAATTTAAAAAAACGCAGGCTATAATATATAGATATTTTTGCATATACATAATTCATATCCAAAAATAAAATAAAGTATTTTAACACTTATTTAATTAAAAAATAAATGTTGAAGGAAATTAACGATAATGATAATAAATAGCTTAATAATACCTTATAATCAAACTTTAGAAAAATTTAATGGGACTTATTATTACGATTTTAACATATGCACACACACTCATGATGTTCCTAATATTTTAGTAACTTAACGAAATATATACAAATCATTTCATTTTTTGTCTTCATTTTGTCTTACTTTACAATTTTAATTTATTATGAAAAAACTTTCAGGGCTATTTGGAATTGAAAATACTGTGTCTGAAATTATAATTTTTTTGTAAAAAATAAAAAAGACTGATTGAAATACATTCGACAGTATAACTACATGACTGAGACAGTATCTCCATTACATAGTTCGTAGGAAATCAGTTGTCTGCAGTATTACGTTTAATGATTTTGATAATTTAAAATTGAACAATAGTTTGGTTCATTTTCATCCGCTGACTTTCATTTATAAGACTGGACAAAGTATGCTCATTTCATTTTTTTTCCATAAGTTCACTTTTACATAAATTTAATTAATGAACCATGAAAATTTCAAATTTCATACCGCATTTAATATAAATTAAAATAATTCATAATATATTTTATTTGAAAAGGATTATTGTGAATATTTTAAAAAATTTCCAAAACAATAATTGATTGACAGAAACAATAATCTTTGCAGCAAAACAATAAATCTCATGTATTATGTATGTGTATACATATAAACATATTAATTTTCAAAAATTTGGCCAGAAATGACATGATGAAAATGAACGTTCGCTTACCTAGTCATATTTTAAGTTTATTTTTTGTTTTATATTTTAATATTTTTTAATATAATGTTAAAAACATACATATTTAAGAAAAATGTTAAATAAAAATAAATTTTACATATATACATATATACTTACGTACTAATAACTAATTAAAAAACTTGCTTTACCAATTTCTTATATGAAGCGGCATACCAACATATAAAAAAATTTAAGGAAAAAATTAAATACACATTTAGTACACTCCTTTTGATTTTTCTAAATTATCACAAAATAAATCCTTGGCCTGCACACAATTATTATGTATTTATGTATTTATTTTTACACAAAAATTGTTATAATAATATCAATTTAAAATAATAAAATTTAAAAAAATTCTAGGTAATAATAAACTTATAATAAATTTAATAAATATATTTGTGTATTAAATATTTTGTGTGTCTGTAATTAATTATATATTGTAATCTATCTCTCTATCTTCTACTAAATCTACCTCTCTCTATTTTTTTTCTGAAATATAATGCATATTTATGTATATTTTTTTTTACATCTAAAATTTTCTATCACTCACTCACATTGATATTTGTATGCTATTTCTATATCTATATTTTTTTCTTTTATTATTTTATGTCTTTTCATATATATGTGTTTGTAAATGTGCGTTTTTATTCTGCTGGATGTGGTTGTACTCTAATGGTGCTCTTTTCCTTAAATCCAGTCTAATTGCAATGTAAAAACTATTTCAAAATTGCTTTAATTCCTCTTTTACGAATGACAATTGATGAGAAATTATGGTAGAATAACCGCAATTTTATAATAGCAATTTTGAAAAAATGATTTACATACTTTTATTCTAGATTTAATTTCTTTGAAGTTCAGTCCATAGCTAAATTTTAAATAAGATCAATTACTGAAATTCGCAAATAAAAAATGCTTAATGAATTCAAAATAAATTCAAAAATATCAGTGGGAAATAAAGTTTTATAAATATAGTAAATATTAATGTCTTAATTTTTATTTTTGATATATCTATGTTTCGTAAAACTAAAAAATTGTATGTATATTAATGCTATCGTTAATTTAATTGAGTAAATATAGTATCACATACGATTTAAAAACGTATTAGTAATTCATTAACTTCGAAGTACTGTAAGAATAACAGTTTTAAAATAACTAAAGCTGTTAATTACAAAATACTCACAAAATCTAAATAGTAAGTATTGTTTTCGCTAAATTAATTCGATAAACCATCATTTTAAAATATGTAGTAATGTATTGCTAGCTTTTTAAAGGGAAAGTTTTAATAAATAATCAAAAGTAATATATTTCAATTCAAAATTGTAGCTTCACCATCATAATATCATTTTAAATAATTATATTATTTTTGGTGATTTGGCATTCTAATTGAAATATTAAATAGAAATTTTCCTAAATTTATCCGGGTTTGAAATTCAAATCCCAAATATAATTACTTAACAAAATACATGTGTATATACATATTAAATTATGTTACAAAATACATTATATTCTCGACAGTTCGATATATTCTGTTCAGGATCTAATTTTCCTGTATTTGTTCTATATTTCAATATATTATGACTCTTAAATTAGAATACTGCTTTCATTACAACGCGTAAAAATTCTAATTCAGAATGTCATATTTTTGGCATTTGAAATTCTCTTTGAAAAAATTTTTACTCGATGAGTTTTTATCCCAGTATAATAAACAAAGTTTTTTAAGCATATTCAAAATTGATACAGGAAGATCTATCTAACTTACATATATGTAAATGAGAGAAAAATAAAAATTTCCGCCAATTATATTAAAAATTTAGCTAAAGAAACTCTTAAATATTTTCACTTATTTTATTAACGTTAATAATATTCGAATAAAATTGAAAAGAGGAATATATTATAGAGGAAATAGGTTTTAAAATAAATATACATACATGCATATACGCATACAATTAAACTTGGATCATTAAGTCTTCCTTCGAGATTAACCAACATGTCATATTGCAGTAGTTTTCAGTATTGCTTGCGTATAAACAATTTTCTTTTCACTATCCAGAATATAAATTTAATTCAAAAGAAATATCGCTATTTATTAATTCCATTGTTAATAATTTACATTAAAATTTAAGCTATGTACTGTACTATCATATATTCAAAATATAAAACCATTATATATAAATACATATTGTAAGCACATAAAATAATAGAAGAAAGAAACTATTTTGTTTTAGCTAAAAATAAAAAAAATTGTAATTATTTAATTTGTGAAAATACTTTTACAAAAAAAATTTGTTTTAAATTTAATTTTTTTTACAAAGAAAAAAGAGCTAACAAAACTTATTTCCCATAGATTATAGAAAAATAGCATTTGCTCATTTTTGCTGTTTCCATTTAAATTTATTTTTCAGAACTGAAAAACCAAATAGAAACACAAGTAAATGAGCTAAAGACTCAAATAGAAGGAAAATGTGTAATGCAGTGATATGTCATCATGATCATATATAATATATATTAAAAAACTAAACTACAATAAACAAAAATTAAAAAAATACCAAAAAAAATTAAAAAAAAATTAACAAAAAAAATTCAAAAAAAAATCAGTCATCATAGCACGCAAACAAAAATAAGTTGTTGTAAGAGTATAAAATAAAATTAAACAAAAAAAAAACCCAAGAAAAAAAAATGTTATATAACAAAATTCAACAAAATTAAGAAACCAAAAACATCACCAACTCATCATCAACCATCATTATTTGAAAAATCATCAGAATTTAAAATATAACTAAAATGCAGACATAAAAAATCGTATATATTCATAGATATATACATATATATAAAATAAGCTATATATACATATACACATACATGTACATATTATTATTTTTTTTCATATTATATAAACAAAAGAAAAAAAATATTCTAGAGAACAAATATATATACAAGTATATAATATTTAGATACAAAATAATAATATGTATTAAAAAACATAGAAATATACGTATATATACATATATACATAAATATAGATATATATGAATATATTTATATATACGTTCAATATGATTTAATGAAATATGTACGTTATATATAAATAACTATACATATATTTGATAATAAAACAAATCACAACAAAATATACAACAAAACAAAAAGCTGACTGCATATATATATATATATATATATATTTATTATTATATATTATTATAAAATATACATTGTTACAATATAATATATAGAGAATATTAAATGAATATTACATTTATTAAACAATTTACTCTTAATTATTAAAACAAAAAATTAAAAATTTCGTTCTAATTTTGATCCAGATTTTATCCAAACTCTTCATATTTTTTTCTTGCTGACTAATTTCTTTATTAAATCTTTTGTACTACACGGAATTGTACTATGGAACAATTCTTGAATGAAAAACCTTCTAAAATTACTCAACCATAAAAAAAAAAATTCTAAATTAATTATTTTCTCATAAACTACACGGTATTAAAAATACAAAATTAACTAAGAACACTTATAAATTCGGGAGAAGAAATTTCAATTAATTTTAATTTTCTTTCTAAAACTCAACATCAACAAAATACACGATAAAAAAATTTCAAAATACATAGGTACAATTAAATTATTAATTATTATACGTCGTATACGTATAATACCTTTTCATTTTTAATATAAATATAACTTTTACAATGTACAATTAAAAATATATTTATATTATTTAATTAAAATACATATTATATTGTATAATAACGATTATGTGTTCAAAACCAAAGAAATATAAAAAAAAAAACAAAAATGCATATTATATTATACAAAATAATAAAATAAAAATCGAAAATCAGCAACTTTCAACGACTTTAATTAAAAATCTTCAACAAAATATTAAAAACACTAATAATTGAATCGATAATTTAATAAAAACAAAATTTAATGATTTTATTAAATTAAGAAACAAAAATACTTATATGGTATATTTTATTAAATAAACTTTACTACAATATAAATTATAACAACTTGATGTGTCCCGAGAACAAAGAGATTTAAATTACAACAAATAAATATTGAGACAAGTATATACATTTATACATATTTATATTTAAATATTTATATAAGAAAACTGAAAATATATTGAAAGAATATAACAAAATTTTTTTAGTAAATTCAGCATTTTCAGATGTTTTTGAAAAAGAAGAGATTACATAATATTTTGAGAAAAACTAATTTTAAAAATTTTGAAATGTAAGTATAACTATTAAATATAATAATTAAATTTTATATTAAATTTCCTATATATTAATTTTTCTTAGTTTTTTTATTTAAAAGAATATTCTATATATTAAATAAAATAATATATATTTTAATTACATTAGAAAATGTAATTTACGTAAAGCGCGATATACCAATTTTACTTTTGTCTTAATATAATTTATTATTTAATTTAAAATTCATTATGATCATAATAACGAAATGACATTGACATTTTGAATGTTTCTGTAAAAAATAATTTTGAAAATTTCGTTGATATAGCTAATTCAATTTAAAATCGTTCTATGCATTGAATTCAGAACAACGCAGATTATATTTTCTAATAAACAAATTTTATTTTTAATTATTTATTTTTTTATACAAACTACATATATGAACAACTATGGAAAATATATTACTTGCTTTGTTTTACTCACTATTTTATTAAGTGTTATATAAATATTTTTATGTATTTTTATTCTTATTATTATTATTATTAATTTTTTAATTTAAAAATTTTAATTTATTATATTTACTACATACATATAATTGGCACATTCTACGTGCATTGACTTAAAATTGGTATTAGGGTGAAAATATATCGCCAACCTGATTCTAATTGATATCAAGTAATATAACATTACTAACAAGTAATATAACATTACTTTTATTATAAATCTTATTCAATCTTTTTAATTTAAATCAACAATATTTTCTGGGAAACTTTGAAATACAAAATTTTTAAGTTGCTTTAAAATTAAAAGAAAACGAGAAAAAATAGAGTTGACCGGTTCAACCCGTACGAATACAGTATACCGTACCCGTACGAATTTACTATCCTATGTGCGAATAAATATGTCATTGCTGACTATGGGACATACTATAATTTTAAGTTACCATATTAATTTGTGTAAAATTTTCGGTACTGCTTTCAATATTTTCTAAGACATGACCAAACTATTATTGAAGTTGTATGGCAGCTACCAGAAAGAGTGATATTGAAAATTATTTCTATGATATACTCAAATAAATTTGAAAGTTGTATGGCAGCTACCTGAACCAGTACCCCGATCGTATCCAAGTTCTGGCATTTACTATAATAAATCATTTGTAAAAATTTGGTGAACTTATCTCAATTAGTTTTTGAGTTATCGTTGGGGCGGAAGACCGGACGGACAGAATATTTAGTATACCCTTCGAGCATATGTTCGCACGGGAATAAAAATATCTAACCGACCGTAAGGTGTGCTCTATTTAGCAAAAGTATTGCACAAAATTATAAAAAAACCTTTTAAATACTTTTTCCATTTTAAGGACGCTAATAAGCTTTTAGTTAACATACCTAGAAAAATGTAAATTTGACTTTCAGTAGAGTTTCGATTTGTGCCATCTGAATTCCTTGAAGCGTCCTTTGTAGAATTTCGAAGAAAATTTTATTTTATTGTTAAATATTTAGAAATTGACGTAGAAACTTCATATATTGAGGATTTACATACATGTACATATATACACATAAATATTTTGTTTAAGCCTTAAATATTTATATTATATTAAACTACAAAACATTCTGAATAAATTTGTTATTAAACTGCACTCTTCTATGTATGACTTCAAAAATTAATGTTTAATTAAATGTGATCATTATAATTTGCTTTATTATTTTTATGTGCTTTAAATATATGAATATGCAAAAGAAATTTTTTGAAATCTATATTGCATTATAAGTTAATTTTTGCTTTATTATAAGAGAGATTTTCACAATGGTACAGATTATAGTATAAATTTCTCAAGCGAAAGAAGAATGCATTTCCTTGAAATTTAATTACGAAAAACCTGTTATTACGTTTTCATAAAAACTATGTCGAAATTTACATAAAATGTGTATAAGAAATTAAAACATTTTTCTTCATATAAATTCTACTAGACATTGATTAGAGACAAAGCTATAAATTTAAGCATCAAAATTTCATATTTTTCCTCATGTAAAAATGAAAAACTTTCAACCAAACTTAATATATGCAATTACTCCTATCAACTACACATTAATTTACAAAAAAATAAAATTTGCAATAGTTTTAATCCAAAAAAATTTTGAAGGGATTTCGAACTTTAACTCTTCATAAAATCTTGAAGCAGCGGTTCTTGCAATTTTTTGTAATTTTCTAATTTGACACCAAGCTGCGAAACTCTCTCATATTATTAAAATATATTTTATGTTTTGTATGTACATCAATATTAATTGTATGACCACAGCTGTTATTTACTATACTATTATTTGTACATAAAAATTTTTATTGGTTATTCTAATCTACTATTTATAAATGTTATATAATTATATATAGTACATATATATATATATATATATATACATACTCATATAATATTTATTTACTTTTTCTCTCTTTTTATATTTTTTATTTTATTTTAAACAGGCGATTTTACACACTTTTGTAATTAATTTTGTAAAACAGACAAAATGCTTTGTTGCTATAACAAAAATATGTGTGTTGATTTCTTCTTCTGAATGATAATTTTCCGTGTAACAAAACCTATATATTATATTATTTGATTTTTTTTCTACTTTTAACATAAATATAAGCATATTAGTGTTAATTCGTATTATATATTTAATCGTAATATTATATTATGCTGTAAAAAAATATTATATTCTTAAATTATACATGTATGTGTTTTCTTTAAATATTATAATTAATAATATTAAAATTAATAATAAAATTATAAAATTATTTGAAAAATGATTGTTGTATACAGGAAAATACATTTTCTATATAAATATTTAAATGTTGATTTTTTTGATTTTAAGTTAAATGAATATATAGCAACAATTTTCAAAAATACACTTTTTTTATATAATGTATTATATAAGAATACTATTATTACTATAAATTAATTTAACTTTTACATAAATCGGTAAAATTGATTAGATATTAAAGTAAAATTAATAAAATATTCAATATATATGCTAATGATTTAATCTGGATGATATAATCGGTTTTCCTATAATCAATTAAATATGATGAAAATTATTTTAAATACAAGACATGAAATGAAAACAGCAATATTTATTAAATGTCAAAATAAAAATTATTATATTTCTTTTTGCGAAATGCATGAATAACAATTTTAAAATTAACGTCTATTACGAAAGCGAAGTATGTTAATTTTTATGAGATATTTAATAAAATTGGGATTCATGATTGCTTCATGTTGATTAAGTAATTCTGTTTGAATATATTTTTCTTCTTAATTAAATTTATTTGAGATACAATAATATTATATACATATACATTAAAATATAAGATATAAGCATACAACCATTGTAACATAATTACAAAAAAAGTCATCGTCAGCAACAATATGTGTGTCAATTATTAAAGTGAAAATAAATTAAAGATTATATATTTAAAATAAAATACAAATTAACACATTTATTATATACACTATATTAATTAACACTATTAGCTAAGAAGCAAAAATAAAAAAAAAAACCAAAAATATATAAAATTCTATAGTATATAGTGTTTTTTATGTTTTTTTTTAATAGCAAAATATAATATAAAGAATTTATGTATATATATGTATTCATATATATGTATATACACATATATATAGATATATATATATATATATATATATCTATATATTACATATTTAAGTATGCATGTATAATGTAAATATAAAAATTTTAATAATTGAAATATTTGTTATAAAATATATAATAAGAATAACCTTTACAAATTATTTAATATTTATGGAAAAACCAAAATACTGTATTTCACATTATATCCATAACGTAATAATCGATTTAAAATATATATGTAATATGATATAGATTACAGTTTTACAATTTGATTTCTGTTTTATTTTCTTTCTAAGAAATTTCCATAAAAATTTCTACATTTAATACCTATAATTTTAATATTTATAATGTCATGATTAAAAACATTCACTGATGATATTATTTCACAGGCCAATAATTAATTTTATATTAATACTAATATTTCATTGTATTTTTACTTATCAATTTTAGTAAAATCTTTTAACAAATTTCCAAATAAGCTGCCGAAGTGAAAATTGCATACAATGTACATACATAATTACCAATTTTGAGAAAATTCTAATTTAACAAAACAGAATCTTTTAAAAGGCCTGAAAATTTACACTCCCCCATTTATTTAAATTTAATTTAAAGGAATTTTAATTTTTATGTTTTTTGAATGTAATACGAATATTTTTCAATACTTGTAATTAAAAAGTGCTTTGACCACTAATATTGTTATATCAAAAATCGACGGAATATAAATTATCCCAAAAAAATCAGGTTTACATAATAAAAAGAAATAATAAAATAATATATTAATAACATTTCATTATACATACATACAAATATACACATATATATATTCGTGTATATATACTATATTTTTACAGAAATGAAAGTATATTTATATACATACCATTTATATATACATACATACACATTTTAGATGCCATGTTAGTATTAAAACAATTCTGATGTAAAAAAAAATAATTAACTTTAAATCGTAAAAAAGAAGTTTCATTGCAAAAAAAAAAAACAAAGAAGAAAAATTATATATGCATATATACATATATTAGAGTAAATAAATAATAATTAAAATAAAAAAATTATATAAATCAAGTGAAATTTTTTTCGAAATTGTTTGTTATATTAAAAAAAAACATAAGCTGTTTAATATACTTATACATTATTATATTGTATTTAAAAAAAAATTTAATTAAAATGAATATTATATACATACGTATAAAACTGCATTAATATATGTATATATATTATATATACATAGAAAAGCGTAAAAAAATGTTCTAGTTGATAAATGTGTAAAACTTGAGTTTAAAAAATTATTTAAAAAATAAAGAAAAAAATAAATAACAAGCACATTGAGTTTTAACTTCAATGAATTTTACATTAAGCAAAAAATAAATAAGAAAAAAAATAAAATAAATTATATATATAGTAGAATTTTAAATTGATTGAAGACATTATTATGTAGTTAAAGAACAAATAAAAAAAATTATATAACAAAAAAAAAAAAAAAGAAAAACTATATTGTTATTTTTGAATACACAGAAAATAAACTTAAAAAAAAGCATAAATATAAAAAAAAATTTAGAATCATAGTTTGTTGAGATTTAGTAACTTGAAGAAGCAGACAATGCAAACATTATATAAATAATATATTAATTATATCATATACTTATACATTAATAAGCATATTTGAAATTTTATAATAAAAAATAATATAATAAAGAATTGTGAAAATAAAAATGAATAAATTTCAAATTTGATTTTATCGCAAGAGCAAACAAAACCAGAATAAATCAATAACGAAGAATTTTTCTTCGAAATATTAATTATTTCCAAAGAATTAATGAAATTATTTATTAATTAAAGAAAAACTTATTAGTTTTTATTATAATTATAATGAATGTTCTGAATTTTTTTTTTAATTGGCTCGAATCAACATTTTTCTTATGTATATACATAAATATGTTTTTTGAAGATTATATTTTTCAATTTTCGGAATTTTATTGAATTTAAAATAATTTATTTGATTTTATAAATATAAAATTCAGGTTACAATTAATTACAAAATTTTCTTGACATTATTAATCTTCTAAATATGAATAAAATAATTTTTTTCAAATTTTCTACTTTTTAAAATTTTCCACTATTCATATTTATAAAATGAAATTCTCAAACATTTCAAATAAATTATAATTATACACAATATATTATTTCTTTTTTTTCTTAAATATTCACATTTCTTGATAATTAGGCGATAATTATAATTCGCTCATAAATTAATGTAAATATTTTCCAAATGATCATAAATAACCGAATGAGTTAAAAGTTTATTAAATAAAATAAAGATTTCAAAAAATAATTATTTTATATAAATTTGATTATCATTTTTGTGTTATATATTATACAAGCTTATACGAAATCACCTTTAATCAAAGGAATTTCGTATTAGTTAAAAGAAAAAATTCATCAACTTTTACAACGAAATTCAGGATCCAAAAATAAAACCAAATAATAAAAAGACAAAGAAACGAAGTTAATCAAATATAATAATGATAAAACAATTTTAAAATTATTATACAACAAAATATGTGAATTATAATAGAAATATTTGATTTGCTTGTACATTTGCTTTATTCTAATTATTTTGATCAATTATAATATTTCTATGAATATTTTATTACTGTCATTGGTAAATTATTACAATCATCAAGTTCTGATTATTTTTGTTTTCAATTTTTATTGGTATAGAAAGAAGTAAATACAAACATAAATATTTGAATCTCTCTACAAAATTGTGTAGTTATGATTAACCATTAAAGTTTTCAGGTATAGTTCTATTGCAAATTGAATTACATGCTTGAAAATTATTCAAAAATTATTAAAATGCAATAAGAATCACGGATTTAATTTACCACTAAAAATTTTAAATTCAATTTCATTAAAATTTTTTATACGTCCTTCTAAATTTTATGATTACTTTTATTAAATAATTTATTCTATTTGCTTTCCATATCGAAACCACAAAATAATATTTAAAGAGGAATAACACAAAAACAACTTTTAACTCAAAACAAAATATAAACTAAAAACTTTTTTCTCTCGCATGCTTCTAAGTGTCTATAAACGAACATTTTAGCAATAATAATAAAAATCAGTTAATAAAGGAACAAAAAAAAAACAATTTTAATAATAAACATTTAATAAATTTTTAAAACTAAATAATATTATACATCAATGAAATTTGAAATTAATTTTATTAACAATGAATGAATTAAAAAAAAAAGTAAAAAGAAAATATTAAACACTTAAAATAAAATAATTTGAAATAAACCAAAAAAAAAACAAAATCATCATCTTAAAACTTAAATAAATTTTAATTGAAAATATTTTCAATCTCTAAATTATTATAACTTTGAACATCATTGAAACAAACATTAATTATATTTATATAAGTACACATACATTTATATATATATATATATATATATATATATATATATATACATATATATATATAAAATAACTTTCTTCAAATTCTATATTATATTATATATAACACAAATTATATAATACATAAAAAGCATTTTACATTGTCTATTCTAAATTAATGAATTCTCTTAAAAAAATTTAAAATAAATTGGAAAACAAACACCGTGATTACCAAAAAATATTAAAAAATATTCATTTAGCTTTCATTACCACACAAATAAGTTACTAACATTCAGAAACATTTGTGCTAAAATGATTGCTAGATATGCATTTTATATATTTTAATGGTCACGGATGACAAAAAATTTTGAAAAAGTATAAAAGCAAAACAAATTTTCTAAATTTCAAAACTTAAAAAATTTTATCTTTTTCTTAGACGAAAACAAAAAAAAAAAACGAATCAAAAATGCTTGTTCAATTTAATTCAATTTTCAAAAAAAAAAATGATAACTTTATCACTAATATTAAACAAAAAATAAATAATTGATAAAGAAATCTGTTTTTAATTTAATTAAACTATAGCAGAACTCTTTAAATTTGTTATTGAAAACTTGTTGCTTATTAAGAATAAATTTTATTTGTTGAACAAAAACTAATAAACTGACTTTAAAATTTCAGTAATACCGTATAAATACACAATTCCGTTTGTACATATACTTATGTTGTGAATTTTCGAACTTTGTCTCAATACAGTATTATTGCAATTTTGAAGTCCCCACTATAATAAGTATATATATTAACTGTTTTTTTAGAAAATATTGAAACAAAATGTTTTTATTCAATTTTAATTAATTTTTTGTTTTTATAAATATATTTTATAATAATTTTAAACAAAAATATTTAACATTATGTAATAATAAATTATATATATATATATACATATACATATATATGTATTCGAATATATTTCCTGTTATAATCTATGGTATCGAAAAAATTTTGTTATTACTTTTAGTTAAAATTTACATTATATTTTACATTTATATATATGGACATATTATATGGGTGTTATATTAAATCTTTATTGATGTTATAAATATGTTAAATTGTTTACTATTTTGTGCTTTATATATAAACTATACATTGTGTTAATAAATATTTAAAACAAAAAATAAAATTTAAAAAAATATGCATAATTATATTTTTATTAATGTACATATAAAATATATAAAACATTATGAGTTCTCATAAGTATTTCTTTAATAAATTACTTTAATGTTGTTATTATACTTGTTATACAAATAAATACGCATATATTATTATAATATATTTATTAGAATTATGTTTTGGTTATACACATTTTTATTTCTTTCGTCTAATATAACATAATTTTCATTTACTTTTAGTTTGTCTCAACTTAATTCACTTTAAATTATTAAAAAAAAAACAAACAAAACCATATTATTTATAAAACAGATAATAAAATTATTATTTATTATTTGGAGATTCGGTGTATTTAACCTGCATAATGTAATTTAAAATATTAAATATAATTGAAAATCACAAAATAAAAACGGAAAATCTGTAGAATTATATATTGAAATATATATATGCATATATATATGTATATATGTATATATACATATATACATACATATAAACACATACGATCAAAAATAAAAGAGAAAATTTAATATTATATAACAATTATTGAAAAAAAATTAAACAAAAAAAAAAAAACAGAAATGTGTTAAAAGAAAAAAAAATATTGTTACATAAAAAAATAATATAAAATTAAAAATAAAAGTGATAAAAAAAACCAAACATAAATTGCCTTATGAATTTCTTTTGACTTACAGAAAGTTCAACCCATGCACCTTTATAATAGAGCGGTTTCCATCAAATATCTGTTAAATTTTTATTTTTTGTTGTAACATTTTATCAAAGTAAAAATCTATTTCTTCTTGATTTTTAAAATTTTTACTTAGAATTCTGAGAAACACAGATTTTCTTTCATATTTTGTTTAGTACTTAATTATAGGATTTATAACAAAATTCAAATAACTTAATTTAAATACAGAGGGTTTACCAGGCAGCAAGATAATTAAGAATCATTCATATAAAAGGAAGTAAAAAAACACCTATACTCTGTTGTATACGTATGTATACTTTATAAACAAATTAAATTACTAATGTGTAGTAATTACAAGTGTGTAGTAATTTTTTATTCACATATACGATCATAAGTGTAATTAAATGAAATCAAACACTTATAGTTGCATGTGATGGATTTATTTAGCATTACTATCTATTCTTTTAAAAATTATACCATACACCTGCATAGGCATACAATTCTATGTTATAATATATTTATATACTGAAAAAAAGCACATGTCTAAAGTGGTAACATAAAATTAGAAAATAAAATATTTCAGAACTAATAATATTTTTACTCAAAGTAGAAATAATTTTTAACTTTATACAACATCATATTTTAATTCTTCTTATAGTCAAACGCGCTAAAATTATATCAATTATATAGATAAAATAAAACTAAAAGGGATATAGTGTACAGAAATTTCGTAGATAATCCAATTTTGATATATGATGTTGTAATAAAGGTATATAAATAGCTCTTATGGCAATAGTCCTTTCGTATTTTTCAAAATAAAATATAGTTGAATAAAAAATGTTTTAATGAATATAAGTTTATCGGTATTCAAATAAAAATATAACCAAATGAGAAAGAATTTATATTTTTACGGCTATACATATTTCTCAATTTCTCGAAAAATATTTTAAATTTGGCGGTAAAATATACACAAAATAATTATAGCCCATTCAAAATTTTTTTTATGATGTCTGGATAATTTATTTTCATAAACGGCTAAAAAGTATAACTAAATATTATTTTGAAATTAATATACATATTTCTAAAACTGGTTTAAATTATATTCAAAATAAAAATAAAGGGGTAGGAAATACATTAACATGCAAATTAGCTATAAAGTGTGGTTGTCGTAATTTCGGATATAATTTTTGTCTGTTCTGTTTATGAAAAAAAATATTATGTTTCTACTAATTTAGGTAAAATTTTTCTCAGTGTATAAGATGGTTTAGAAAAGTAGGCCAATGTATTTACTTTACGTACAAAAATACAAATTGATTTAAATAATAAAAATCGTGATGATACTTGGGAAACTTGATTGATCCACAGAACAATTTTTTGCCAAAATAATTTCTAAAAAAAAATTGAAAACCTTTAACAAATATTTTCAAATTTCATAAATTTATTACTTGACTTATTAACTAAAATTTGATTAAATTATTAAAACTTGAATATTTCAAAATTATCTTACTTTAATTTAAAGTAAATCTCAATTTCATATTTAATTAATTCTTACACTAAACAGAAAATCTATACAAATTATAAAAAAAAACAAATTAACTAAAAAATTTAAATTTAAAGTAATTTTTCGCTGCTATGAATAACATCGATTTCATATTTTCATAGTAGTGAAATATACAAAATTTTCAAATTTAATTTTAAATATATTTTAAACTTCTTGTACTTTTTTCTGTAATTTTATTTATTTATTAAAAATATTTTCTTTTTCTTTCGCTTAATGTACATAATCTATTTATAATCAATCTATTTTATAAACAATACTTAATTTCTTGCATAAATAAATAAATGTATATATATATATATATAAATTTTTCAAATTTAACAAATTTACAACAAAAATTTAAACATTTGAGATTTATTAATTTTTTAATATTTTTTCTTTTTTGTTCTCTTTTTCTATATTTACAGCTATTTTCAGTTTTAAATATAAATTATTTGAAGTTCTGTATTAGTTTTAAAAATAAAAATAAATTTAATAAGACAGAAAATCTTATAAATTATAATAAGGTAATATTTTAAATACCAGAGAAGCGTGATATATTTACTTAGAAAATAAAAACCTAAATAAAATTCCTTATATCCTAATAGAATATCCTTAAAATTAAAAATTAAAAAAAAAAAATAATTAATTTTATATTTATTAATTTTAAAAGCTTTTATTTTTTATTCAAAATAAACAATTTTTTCAAAAACCTTCTAGCCTAAA